ACAATTCTGGGCAAACCTGATATAAGAGTCCATTAACCATATTCAATTATTCACTCTCTGTGGATCAGGTACTTCACCAGGCACAGGGCCCAATGGCACAGGCCCTCAGGTGCTAAGCTGTTCATCACAAGCAGGTTACAAACACAAAGGCACAAAGTACCAATCAAATCATAAAAAACAAACAAAAACCCCACACACAATAGAGACAGGGAGTATATGGACTAGTAATAACCAAGAAAGGATTACAATAAAGTTTTTGGAAACAGGGGAGAAAGCAAGGAGATATCAAATAAATTGGTATAATGTGAGAAAACAGAAATGGATAGTTAATTGTGAATCTAGTTACATTTCCTAAGATTTCACAAAACAGTGTCTAATAAGCAGGATATGCTGGCTTTACAATCAAGCACAAACAAGTTCTAATCTTTACTAATTAGGTAAGTTTGGACAAGACTGTATGTCACACTGAGCCTCAGATTTTTTCACTGGTAAAAGACAGACAATAATAGAGATCTGAGAGCTGTTTTGTACTTAAGTCAAATAGCAAAGGTACATGCCAGACTCCTTCGCCTTCCTCTGTGGGACTAGAAAAACACATCTCCAGGGCATAAAACAATGAGAGCAACTGCTTTTTACTTTTCTTTGTTCCTGTCAGCCTTGACTTGGCAAAGAGATGGGGTTATAGAATTTCAGAGATGAAAGAAATCTAAAGAAAATAAGATGACAATGCATTGGAACAGAAGGACCTTAGAGATCATCTAATTCAGCTCTCCCACATTTTAGGCCCCAAAAGTAAAGAGACCCCAAACACAGAATAAAACCCGGGCAAGAAGGGTAGGACGGGCAAGGACTGAGTCTTTGATCATAGTTCATTTCCTTAGTTCCAACCCAAGGACAGGGCAACTTAAGGTCCTTCTTAATATAAAATGTGTAGATGTGCTTAGCATTGGTACTTTTCTTGTGCTATGTGATTTAGGTCATATTGCTTAACTTCTATGAACCTTAGTTTGCACAAAGAATTTTTGCAAAATTGCATGGGATGACACATGTAAACACTCAGCATACAGCCCAATGGAGTTCAGTAAAATGCTGCTGTTGAATTTTAATGATTGACATTTCACAGACTAACCAAGTGAAGCAGTTGATGGCAAGAGGAGGAATTGGTGGTGATTGCATGTCCCCTGAGAACAAGGTGATGAAACAGAGACTGAAGCTTCTATGCAAGAACCAGCTTCCCTTTTCTGGAGCTGAAGGGACTAGACATCGGACTTCCTCCCTCAGGTACCTTGCACACTAAAATCTACATTGCCACAGCAGATGGGGACAGCCAGGACAAAATCAGACCAGAAACAGGTCTCCGAACAACTCCATCAGCATGGACCACGTAGTCTAAGTTTTAAAAGAAAGGAAGGGGAGAGGAGTAGCTAACCTGAATTTATGTCTCAAAATATCAGACCAAATGTTCTGTAACCTTCCCGTTTTTTGGTGCTTTATTCCCCCACAGAACAATTTCCAAAATCGGCAAAGAGCACAGTAGGTGGCTCTTTTCAATATTTCATGGGCAAGGCAACAATGACTCGCCAGATCTGACATCTGTGTCACCAGCAAAAGTCTGATGAAGTTGAGTAACAAGTGAAACCATGTGTGTGCATGTGCACATGTGTAGGGAAGTGTAAGTGTGTATGTGTGTGTGTGTGTGTGTGTGTGTGTGTGTGTGTGTGTGTGTTTCCTTTAGCCCCCTTCCCTAATCTCCAGCCCCAGTTTGCTTTCCTAAGTGTACCAGGTAAGATGATGTTAGCTGCCTACCTTTTGGCAAAGGCAAACATATGTTTCCAAATGTCAAATGCACAAAGGAATTCATTTCTCTCAGAAATACATTTGCAAACCTGTCTAGTTGCAGCAAGGGAGAGAAACCTGATGACCTGTGCGGGAGCTCAATGCATAAATGACCCCACTTTATGGACCAAGAACAGAACCTCTCATTTTCCTACATAAGCTGGAAGTTAACAATAACCAAATGCTGACCAGTTCCCAAATCGCACCACCAGCAAGCAAGGATTTTTTTTTTCTTAAAATGCTGCTCAGCACTGTTCTCTGTATTCTACCTCCTACATACAGAATCGAGGAAAGAGGGAACAATGCTCTCTGTGGTCACCGACCACATTTGCTCCTCACTGTTACTATCAGCCTTCCAACTGATGCAGGATAGCACAGGGAAGAAACTGCCCCAAATGAGAAAAGTATGGAATAATTTTCATTTTGCATTTTCATAGTAGATAGTCTCCCAGGATTTGCAGGTGTATTACATCAAAGAGATGAGAATAGGTTTCCTTAGAGACTGCTGCTTTAAACTGTCTGCCCTTAGAGTTTGTTCCCCCACGTTACAGACCCATGTGTAAGCACACCCTGTTAGCAAAGAAATGTTCACCTTGCCACAAAAAGTATCCTGGACGCGTCAGCCAAATAAGGTCCAATCAACACATGAAGTAAGCTGCTATAGATTGTACTGAATATGTGGGAGAGCCAAATACGACACGAAAAGCCCTAACATACAGGTCGAAGAGGTATGAATCGTATTTCCGGGACCGAAATGTGTTATGTGATCCCTAGAAAGCTCTTGTTTTTACATCTCAATTCTAGTTTCCTTCTCAATGAGACTAAAAGGAAGTATCATTGAATGAGCACCTACTTACTACATGTACGTGACACAAACCCACTGAATTTAATCCTTGCATGAATTCTTCCAGTGAGCATTTTTCTTCTATTTTAGGATTTATGAACCAATTGTACACATGAAAAAGCAAATTTCTCAGTGTCACACAGTTACTGAGGTATTGGGGCTGGAATCTGAAATCACAAACCATAGGTTCCTTCCCATATGCCCACCCAGGGATCACGCGACGGTAGATCCCTGGGAGTTTGGAAAGCCCTTCGGAAGTTTTAAAGTCCTTCACGTACATGTGGGCTTGGTAATACTAACAATACATGTGAGTAGAAGGGCAGCTATAACAACCTTTCTTCAAAGAACCAGAACATATAAATCCGCTTTATGTCTCCTTTCTAGCCCCTTGTTCCGACATTATTTTGAGCATTTTGCTTTTTGCCTCGGCTCTCCAGCCCCCCAGGCAGGCAATGAGCCATATCCCAGCTTGCCCCTCACAGTGCATCCCCACAGCATCATGCTGATGGACGAGAAGACACCACGTTCTGAAAATGCTCCATACAGCTGCTGCCTCAGGCAGCACCACCGGGACCACGCCTTCCCTCCAGATGTGTCACACCCCTTTGCATGCACTCACCAGGACTCAACACACAAATGGTATGGCTAGGGAAGGAGGCAGCAACCGTAAATGCTAGATGCAGGGTTCAGGGCCTTATACCACAGCCAGTAGATAGTACTAAATCATGTTGGAAAGGCAATCAGAATAAAGCCAATAATCGTGAGCAAGGTAGGAAAGTAGAAAACTAATTAATTTTCAAATAGGAATAATAAGGAAATTAATCAAATGTGTATGTTCTTACTTAATAATACATGTCTGTGTCTAGAACACACTGACTTAGCAACATTGCTGAGCAATGTACAAGAAACATATGAACATTTTCTACTTGCTTTCCGATCCTAGTTGCCTGGCTAACCAGAGTAAGCAGGGTTTGATGGCTTTGACACCTGCAACTTGAGGAGCTCTCTTCTAGTCTGTCCCCTGTCATCAGATTCAACACCCTTTTACTCAAGAAGCAGTGCTTCCAGATCACAGGAAACTAGGAGGAAAGTTGCTCCTGAGACATATCACCTTTACACATCCCAAATCAAACATCCATGATCTGAGTCACACGCAGACAGATGTGAAAAGCACCACAAAAGAGGGTCCCATGCTCCCAAAGGCAAAGCACTAGCATATTTAGATTTTTTTTTTTAAGTCACCACATTGTAGAATAAAATCGCCCTCAGTGAAATACTTTCTGCAGGGTTACCATACAGCCATTTTCAGAACATTTGCAATCAGATGGAAGGGATCAAGGGAACGGCCAGGCACAAGGCTAGATCTGAAACTTGAATTAGCCCAATTCATTCTCCTAACTATGTGAAGGATTCAATGTAGTCATTACTATCTCCATTTCAAAACTGATGATGTTTTGTTTGTTTTAATCTGCTAGTTCTAGAAGGGTGGAATAACATGGCCAGGTTCATCCAGCTACTACAAGGCAGAGGTGAAATCAAAAAAGGTAAATCCTTTCTCAGCCAGTAGCTAATCCAGGACCTGTACAGGCAGAGCAGTGAATGGCTCTCGGGGTGCCCTGGTTCAGGATTCCACAACAGGGAGTGGAAGACAGGCTGGGGGCTGGCTCTTAAAGGAAACAGCAGAAGTTCTTGAGATCCAGTCGGTGCCTGACAGAGCCAGCAGCCCTGCTCCCTCCAGAGGTTGGAAGGAGCAGAGCTAATCAAGGGAGATCTTCAGTACCCCAGCATCTGTCACGACCCCAGCCCCTCGCTCTCACTTGGCTTCCTCAAGAATCCAGAGGGACACCATGCAAAGGGCGTCTTTCTGAGAAAGCAGGTCAGTCTGGGGAAGCACCCTGTCACAGCTCCAACTGGGGTGGCAGACACCCAGTGGGCATGCTGGGACACACCGCCTCCTTCCATCCTCCAGGCTCTCAGCCGCACTCTGGAGCAAGCAAACCGCGGTTCCCAGCCGGGTGGGGGGGTTGAGGGTGTCAGAGTGAATCCCTCAAAGGACTCAGAATGGGGCCAGTAATACCCTCTGGGTCCCACTACTGGGTTACTTAAATCCCCACACGAGGCAAAGCATTAAAAAAAAAAAAAAAAAAAAAGGCTGCTTCCAATCTCGAACACCCTATTCTAGCCGCGCTCTCTTCAGCCACCACCCCAGTAAGCGTCTCAATGTTCCCTTCTGTGAAATAGGAAGGTTCAACTCTGAAAATCCATCCAGAGTGTGAGGTGCTGCGGTTCCACGGAGCCCTCACTGCAGCGCGAGACTCACCTTTGCGCGGGGCAGAGCGGTCACAGGGCGAAAAGCAGCCGAGTCGGGTGCAGGGTCGCCGGCTCTGCTTCGCGTGCCTCAGGGCCAACGCCGAGCCCCGGGAGCCCAGATCCTGACTGCCTTCCCCCAATGAGCCTCTTACTTTCCGCCGCACTTTCTTTTTCCCCTTTCGGGGCTCCTCCCCCGGCGCGGCGCTATTGGCCGCGGCCACGCAGCTCGGCTCCACCCGCCGCCTGCACTCGCGATCCCGGAGCGCTCGCGGCTTCCCGGACCCGCGGCTGCTGGGCGGCACCGTGCACCAGTCCCGCCCGCTGCGAGGAGGAGCCGTGGTGAGCTGGCGCGCGGGAGGCTGCGGGGCCGCTCGGCTGCGCCGGGCCCCTTGGTGTCCAGCTGCCGCCTGCACTGCAAGCACAGGCTGGAGCGCGCCTGGAGAGGAACGCCGTGGCTGCGCAGCCCCGCGCCCCCAGCGCGCACCCACACATCTCTCTCTCTCTCTCTCTCTCACTCTCTCTCTCTCTCACTCTCTCACTCTCACTCTCTTTCTCATCTCTCTATCTCTTGGTGCACACGGCAGGGTTGGGATCTCATGGAAGAGGTCGATGCCACTCTTCTTGCTATTTACTTACTTATTTATTATTCATTTATTTTTGGTCTCTATGGATGTCGCTGTTAAGCTGCAAGGTCTCATGAGTCCATACAGGGTCCATGATTTGTGCGGCCACCGTGAGCCACACACAGAGAGTGACAGAAGCCATCTCCTCATTCGGCAACTCTTGCTCTGCTAGCTATGACAGCCAAAGGGTCATGGCAGCAGGACAGAAGCTGGGCTGTCCGTGGCGAGACGCCTGCTGTCTTCCACAGTGCCTGGCAAGACTTGAGCGCTAAGCACACGCATGCTGAATGCACGAATGGATCAACTCACTGGTCGGTTACAAGAGGAAGCAGCCTTAACCTACAAAGAGCTGTGTGTCTTTCCCTCACTCCCACTTTAGGTTTCTGTGTTCCTGTAGCCCCTCAGAGCGCGCCCAGTCCCCTTTTCTGAGGCTCCCTAACAAAGGCCATCCACCATGGACTTGTGTCTTCCTGTTTACCTCGTGGGCCACACCTCCCTGACTTTTCTCCCACTCTCGAAGAAGTTAAGAAGTTAAGCCACGTAGGAGAAAGAGGAAGTAGCTGGAAAGGAAGAAAAGGGCCCGCCAGGAGGGGATGGGGAGTAGCAGGTGCCAGTCCCACCCGGGTGGAACACAGGGGGGCTCAGACTCTGCCTCTGCCTGAGCAGCTTACCTCTCCTGGGGGAACTCTCAGAGCAATGCAAGCCACAAAACTGTGGCCATGCCACCTAACGAGAATTCATCCCAAGAAATGACAGTCTCTAGATACATGGCTTACAGGCTCACAGTACATACTGACAGCATTACTGACGCAAAGAAAATAATAAGTAAAAAAGAATTTGAAAACTTACTTGTGTGAACTAAAAATGCTCTTTGATTCGCTATTAAACATATTCCAGGCTTTGTTATTTTCTTCCTTGCATAGTACATGGATATAGACATAGAAATAGATATACATATGCATATATACATATAGATATACATAGAGATATATAGATGTAGATATAGATACTGCTTACAAAGCAGACCATGCCATGAAAGTTTGGCATAGAGCAACTCACTTAATGCCACAAACTATAGGTGTGATTAGTATCTCCAGTTTATAGATGAGATAAAGGAAAGCTCAGGAACCTGACCAAAGGTGCACGTCTCCAAATGAGAACGCAAGTGACAGGCTCCAGCTCTTCTCGGCACCTCACTCTCCTGTCTGTGTGCTACCTACAAATCAACTAAGTGCTGATAACACAAAACTGAACCAAAAGTAATCCTAGATATTGAGGAACTAGTCATACTTACTGAGAAATAACAGGCATGTAGACATATGATCCACATTGTATTTTGCAATTTGAAGATAATATAAAAGGTTGAAAATGCAAATGATTAGCTGATCAATTCTGTGTATTCATACAACAAATTATTTTCAATCACAATCATCAAGTTATGGAATATATCTGCAAAGAAAAAGGTTTATAACCAATAGAATTGAGTAAAAGTTGTGAAGACATATAAACAGCAATTAAAAGACCTGTGTGAAAAGACTCTGCATGAGGACTATCAGACCGACCATAGGCATATTTCTACGCTTTATTTAATCTAAAATGCTTTCATCATAATTAAGTTATTTATTTATTTCTTGGAAAGGTGTTAGTAGGTAGAGGTGGAGGAAGGGGAAGTGAGAGAGAATAAGAGCCATCTCCCATTGCTAGTTCACTCCGCCATATGCCTACATATGGGATTAGGCTACACAAAGCCGGAAGCCCAGAACACCATCAGAGTATCCCACATAGACAGCAGGGATCCAAGTACATGAACTGCCACCTGCTCCCTCCCAGAGTGCACATTATTGAGAAACTAGATCAGAAGTGGAGCTGGGACTTGCACCCAGACACTGCTCTATGAGACCCGGATGTGTCAAACAGTGCCTTAACCAGTACATCACATCCCTCTTCTTATTAAGAAAAAAGTAATTTAAAAATCTTAGCAATGAAGTATCCACTCATACTAAGCACTCAGTGAATAACTGCCACATAAATGGGGGAAGGAGGCTGCAAACACATGGTGTGAGTACCCAGCAGTGCTGGTGTGTGGGAGACAGACAAGGAAATATTTTACACTTCCCAGTGAAATTTGAAAAAGAAAAAAACAAAAAGCATCAGTACCCCCTGCTGCTGTTTGTTCATACCGTCCTCATCTTCTCTCCCCCTTAAGTTTATCTTCAATTGGCTTTTTTTAGTTGTAAGAGGTCTGGGAATTTTGCTAGTCCTTCAAAACAACTCCATTAAATATTTGCTCCTAACACTCTACAACTTCCATGTTACTAAAATTAGCTTTGTTGCTTTCTCTGCTGCCCACTGCTCCCTGGTGGAACTCGGTGTGACCTCTGAATGTTGGGATGCCCAGAGCTTAGTCCTTGCAGGGTTTACGTGCTTTGTCTAGGGCATCTCACCCAAACAGCTCTCTAAAATGCATGATATTGACCCCAAAATATAAAACTTTTCAACTTCCCAAACTTTACTTTTTGATTGTTAATTTATTTTTATTAAAAACAAACACCAGGGGAGAAAGAGAAAGAGAGAGAGAGAGAGATGTAACCCTCCTTTATGGGTGGCAGAGAATCAAGTGATTGAGCCACCCTGGATGTACATTATCAGGCAGCTGCATCAGAAACAGAAGAATCAAGACTTGGACCAGACAATCTGATTTTAGATCCAAGTGAGTTAATCAGAAGATTAACTACATGTTAACGACATGGATTACATTGTTAGCTCCTGTACCTCAAATTTTAAATGCTCAAATTTCTATCCTCCATCAAACCATTTTTCCTGCAATTCCCTTGTTTTTGTAGCTTATAATAATTTTTATTCAGTTTCCCAGGTCAAAAAGTTGTGATCAGGACCCAGTGCAGTAGCTCAACAGGCTAATCCTCTGCTTGCAAGCTGTAGGATCCTATATGGGCACCATTTTGTGTCCTGATTCCTCCACTTTCCTTCCAGCTCCCTGCTTGTGACCTAGGAAAGCAATAAAGGATGGTCAAAACCTTAGGACCCTGTACCCATGTGGGAGAGCAGGAAAAAGCTCCAAACTTCAGATCAGCTCAGGTCCAGCCACTGGGGCCATTTAGGAAATGACCCAGCAAAGATGGAAGATACTTCTCCATCTCTGTTTCTCTCCTGTAAATCTGACTTTCCAATAACAACAAATTTTAAAATCTGTGCTCACTGTCAATTCTCTTATTTTTCTTCTCTTCCAGGTCTCCCACACAAACACAGGGTCCCAAGGCTTTGGGCCGTCCTCAATTGCTTTCCCAGGCCACAAGCTTCATAAGAAGTAGCAACACACGGATTAAAACTGGTGCCCAAAAGGTATGCCAGCGTGTGCAAGGCCAAAATTTTAGCCACTGGGCTACTACACTAGGCCCCATATTCTCCTATTTTTCTTCTAATTCTAATGTAATTCATCCACAATTATTCAAATTCTTCTGTATTCAAAATATATCTGAAATCTAACCATTCCTCCTCTCCTCCAACACAAACTCCATAGGCCAACTTACTGTCATCTTTCCCCTTGATACCTCTGCTTTTCCTCTTGTCAAAGAGCCTGGAACCTGGAATCGACATGTCAGAGACTCTGATAAATGGAAATCAGAATAAATAGAGTAGCAATTTAGCAGAACTCAGAAAGCAAACTGCTGCATGCAGTCCAGGCTCAAATTTAGTGGCATGTTAAACAGAAAAGATAATTTGCTTCTTTTTGTCTGAGATTCATCCTTTGTAAGCAGTTCTGTAAAATGTCATCAAATTAAATGAGCTTCTATATGTAGAATACTAGGAAGGTGGGTTGTCACCTCTTAGGGTCATAGCAATATCACAGGAAACCTACTGGACTCTGCACAGAAATCACTCCAGGATCTCCCGTTACGATCTGGTGACTTTCCAGAGTTCTTGTTGTGACAGTCAAGGGCTGTACATGCCTTGACTCTCAACCCTTTTTTTGCTTGCCCCTCACTGTCGCTCATGCACACCAACATGTTCTTACCGAGGGTTTTTGTATTTTTTCCCCTTGTCCTACCATGCTCTTCCATTGTCAATCACTTCCTCATTTCATTCAGAACCTGCCCCGTCTTTACTCAACCAGCACTTTCTCAGTGAAGACATTCTTGGCATCAGTAGTAACTAATATCCTCCTTACTTCATACTTTCATCATGTTACATACAGTTTACTTGTTTGTCCAATATCTATTTTTGGTTAGAATGTAAGTTCTGGTCGGGCAAGATGATGTTTCCCTAGCAAATGGACAGAGCTCTGTACATAGGATTCATTTAATAAATGTTGGTGGAATTTTGGACCCAATCCAAAGCTCTTATGATTTAACTGAGACAAATTTATTATCCAGATCATTTGATTTACACCTCTGAGAGGTAGGAAGAACTAGAAGAAGAATAAAACAGCAAATAG